TTTGATGCGAAACTCACGCATGGCGTCCATGAAGTCGCGCGCGGTGACGTCGGGGACGTCGGCGACGGCGCGGCGAATCGCGTCGCGCGCGGCGTCGCCCGGGACGCCGGCGCGCGCGGCGTCGCGCGCCGCCGTCGTCGCCGCGTCCACCGCGCGCCACCTCGCCGGGGTCTCTCGCGCGCGGTATCGTCGCATGAAGAGTCTCGCGAGCGACATCATCGTTCGCAACTCTTCCTCTGGGGCGTTTCGCGCGTGCGCCGCGTAGACGCAATCGAACGCGTCCTCGCAAAATTGTCCATCCAAGCGCTCGCTCGCGCAGAACGCCTCCACGAGCGCGTTCGCGTCGTCGTTGTCCAGCGCGCGGCACCGGTCGAGAAACGCCATGAATCCGCACTCGCGCGGCGTCGACGCGAGCAGCGCGGCGCGTCGGAGCGCGTCTTGTGCGAACGTTTTCGCCGCATCATCATCCTCGCCGCATGTTGATGTCCCGACCGATCGTCTCTCGGTCGAGCGCGACGTCGTGCGCGCGGGCGACGGACGCGTCGACGGTGCGCGTGATCGACGCGCGCGCGTCGTCGACGATACGCGCGAGGTCGCGCACGCGTCGCCGGAGGAGACGCGAGACGACATGTGGAGACACAGGCGGCTACGACGTCGCTACGATGGTACTCTCAAGTTAAATTTTGCCGCTGTCCCGTGATCTCGGCGGGGAGCGGGCGGTTGAAACCACCCTTACGATTCATGTACTGTCGCGCCTGGCGCTTGGTTTTCTTTTGCACCGCAGAGGCGTTTGCGAATTCGTCCTCGACGTGTTTGCCTCGCGTCGTGGCGAAACCGCCGAAACCCATCAGGCGCATCATCATCGCCGCCTCGTCCTCGTCCTCGTTCGAAGCCCCGGCGAGGTCGGACGACGACGGGGGCGGTGGCGGGACCTCGACCGTTCGTCCAAAGCCCTCGCTCGGCGGCGGCGGCGGAATCTCCCCTCGCTCGCGCGGCGGCGGCGGAATCTCCCCTCGCTCGCGCGGCGGCGGCGGAATCTCCCCTCGCTCGCGCGGCGGCGGCGGCACCTCTCGCCGCCGACGCTTCCAATCATCGCCGCGACCGCGCGGCGATATCGATCTCGACCTCGATCGCCCGTCCCGTCCCCGCGTCTCTCGTCCGCCGCGTCCGCGACGCCCCTCCGGCGACGCCGACCGCGACGCCGACCGCTTTCGCCCCCCTCCATCGCCCCATCGCCCGTCCACCGACCTCGACCTCGACCTCGACCTCGACCGCGCGCCCGCGTCGTCGTCCCACCCTCGTGCGCGCCGTGCCCCCTTCCCGCGATCGCGCGCGCCGTCGTCCCGCGCCTCCGAAGCCCCGCGCGCCATCGTCGCGTTCACCGTCGCTCCAACACCGCGCGCACTCTCCGCTCGTCCTCGCGCGCGCGATCGAAGTGCGTCACCCACGACCGCGGGCACGCGCGTTCGTACGCCGCGCGCAGCGCCGCGCACGCGCTCGGCGTCGCCGGCGCGCGCGATGTCCCCGTCGTCGTCGTCGTCGCCGTCTCACACGTCTCCACGAACGCGTCGCGCGCGTCGCGACACCGCGCGCGCGCGCGCGCGATCGGGCCCGACGCCGTCGTCGTCGTCGTCCTCCTCCTCCTCGCGCCCGTGGACGATCGTCCGCGAGACGCGACGCGATGACGTCGACGCGACGACGACGGGACGATTCGATTCGACTCGATTGGATTCGACTCGATTGGATTCGACTCGACTCGATTGGATTCGACTCGACTCGACTCGACTCGACTCGACTCGATTCGACTCGACGCGACGCGACTCGACGCGATCGCCGCGCGAGGTGTTCGTCATCCATCGAATCGACGAGACGCCCGTCGTCCCGTGGATGTTTCGTCGTGCATAAAACACACCCTCGACGAGTATTGATCGACGAGTCATGACCCGTGACGTGCGATGAAGTTCGCATTTCCCTGAAATCACCCGAAAATGGCTCGTCGGGGTGCGGACACACGCATTCCGTCGTGTTTCCACACGATGTACGGATCATTCACCGATCGACGCGTCATGACCCACACTATGCGAAGGACTCGATACAGACACACATATCGGACCGACGAGACGTATTCCGTCGTGTTTCCACACGATGTACGGATCATTCACCGATCGACGAGTCATGACCCACACGATGCGAAGGACTCGATACAGACGCCACGCACCGATCTCGGACCGACGAGACGTATTGGACATGCCGCGACGACGATGTATGACGAGACCTATTCGCACCCCGCGCGCGCGACCGCGACGCGGGGAATCCCGTCGACGCGCGTCGCCGAGGACGTCCCGCGCGCGCGCGCGAGCGATCGACGCGCGCGCGATCGATCGCGCGCGCGAGACGCGAGACGCGAGACGCGGGCGACGGGCGACGGCGCGCGCGGGGATTGGCGGTGACGTTTTTCCGTCGGCCCGAGCGCGCGACGCGCGCGATGGCGGGACGGGGTGGGCGAAAATCGTCCCCGGACGTGGACTCCGAGGTCGATCTCGATGACGTCGATGTCGGCGATGAGGTGCGCGGGCGGTAGGGGGGGGGGGACGTGGGTGGACGCGGACGCGCGCGGAGAGGCGGAGGGCGCGGCGGCGTCAACGCGGGCGACGCGCGACGAGCGACGGATTCGCGGCGTGGGGGGGGGAGGACGTCGCGCGCGCGATCGGGGCGTGGGTGATCGGCGCGTGGGGGGGTCGGGGGCGCGCGCGTGCGCTGGGACGGGGGGTTGGGGGGCGGCGGGACGGGACGAGCGACTGACGGGCGCTTTTCGCGCGACGCAGGAGGGAAAGGGAGATAAGCAGTCGAAGAAGGCGACGACGTCGCAGTATCGGGGGGTGAGACAGCGCCCGTGGGGGAGGTACGTCGATCGTGATCGATGGTGATCGTGATCTCGTCGCGACGACGCGGTGCGGGTGAAGACGCGCGGGGCGTCGAGGCGGCGCGCTTTACGCGCTTTACGCGGATACTGACAGTTTTTGACAACTTTTTGCGCGATCGATAGTTGGGCCGCGGAGATCCGGGATCCAAATCGAGGGGCGAGGTTATGGCTGGGTACTTTCGACACCGCCGAGGAGGCGGCGAGGGCGTACGACGCCGCGGCGAGACATATTCGAGGCCCGAACGCGAAGACCAACTTCCAACTCGCACCCGGAGAGGAGCCGCCGCCGTTCGTCTTGCCCGAGCCCCCGTCCGGTGGTCGAGGCATGGGTGGCGGCGCTGGAGGCGGAGGACGAGGACGCGGCTCCGATATGGGACTCCCGTCCACCGGTTACGGCGGTGCTGGGCCATCGCGCCAGCCAAACATGATGAAGAAGCAAAAACCCGTCAAGGGAGGTGTGAGCACGATTTACGGTTTTGGGACGCCCACGGGCGAGAAGAGCGGGGTGCCAAAACGTGGTTCGATCGGCTTCGGCAGCGGTATCGACCTCTCGGCGCTCGCGAACGCCAATCTAGCGCTCGCCAACCAAAATCTCGCATCCGCGGGTTCCGCGCGAAAGGAGTCGGAGAGCGGTTTCATGAAGCTCTTCGCCAACGGTAGCTTGGGCGACACGCCATCGAGTACGGGTGGGTCTCCGCTCATCATGCCCGAATCGATCGAATTCCGGGACGGTATATTCGGCATGAGTGGTGAGATTCCGGTCATCTCCACCAAGCGCGACCGCGGTCCGAGTAGCGCATTCTTCGGCACGTCCTTCGGCGTCGCGGGGTCATTCGGCTCAATGTTTCCGCCAGACATGGGACTGTCGTCAACGCCAGACGCTGGTGACGGCTCGAACTTCAGCGGGTTTCCCATGTCACCAAACACCGGTATAGACGGTGATTTCAACGTCGGAAGTTTGGGAACGATTGGCGATTTGGGCGACGCTCTTCCCGCGGTGGGGTCGTTTGAACTCGGCAGTCCGGTGGATTTGGACTCAATGATGAACTCGATGTCGAGGAATAGCGGCGGTAAGGCGCAACCGATGGCATCGATCCTCGGTAAGCCGAAGAAGCAGGAGCACGACTCGCCGCTCGGAAGGGCTTCAACGCGCTCCTCGCGTGACACCCGTTCGAAGAGCGCGCAGTTAGACGCGCTGTCCGCACTCAAGTGATGAGCGCTTTGGACCATCAAGATGAAGCGACCACTAAGATTTTACGAGCGTCGTTCGCTCACGTATTATCTGATTTTTGTACTCTTTCGACGCCGCGGTTCGACGCGTTCTCGCGCCGCCGCGGCTTCGACCCGTCATTTCTCCTTCTTTGTAAAATGTCGAAATTTTTCTTGTCAAACGCGCGACGTCATGCATCAAGTCGAAAACGATGCGATCTTTCGTGCTCATAATTCATGCGTCGGCTTCATATGACAAAATTAGGTCTTGTACGCCGGCGACGCGCTACGCGTGCGACGTTCGTTCAAATCTTAAACGAGCCGCCCTCGGAGATGTTCAACCCCCCCTTGGGCTTGTACTGGCCGCTCTTGAGATCATCTTCGTACCCCGCGCCGATGACGCTCGAGTCACGCACGGACTTTTCGAGCAACCAATCGAGGAAGCTCTTCTTTTGCCCGGGCTGCGCGCGCGATACTCTTCGCGTCAGTCCAAATCTCACGTCACGAGTCACGACCCACGATGGACCCCCCCCAAATCCATCACCCCGCACCGGTCCGATATCACCCGATCGCGTCGCCGTCTCCCCCCCCCCCGCGCGTCCACCGCCCACGCCCACGCGCGCGACGCCTACTCGACGCGTCCGCGTCCCACCGATCACCCGCGCGCGCGCCGTTCGTCGACACCGCCCACCGATCGCGCGATCGCCGATCGCGCGCGGTGAACCCTCACCACCCCCACCCCGTCGTCGTCGCCGTCGTCGTCGTCGTCGTCGCGCCCGCACCTGGCTCGCTCGTTTCTTCCCCTGCACGCGCTGCGTGCGCGCGTTCGCGGCGTTCACGACGACCCTGGTGGCGCTCACGGCGAACATGACGTCGATCGCGTCGTCGTCCAGTGCGCGCGCGGTCGCGGTCGCGGTCGCCGTCGTCGGCGTGCCGGGACGTATAATCGTCGACGCGGGCCCATTCGAGGCGGATCGGCGCCGTGTGCGTACTGCGTCGTGCCGGAGCCCGTGTACGCGCCCGTGGGCCTAAACCTAAACCCACGGTGGGTGGGTGACGTGACGCCACCCGTGTGCGGCGATGTGATGTAAACACAAAGCCGCGTCGCGCGACGCGACCGACGACGCGGACGACGCGGTCTCTGTGTGACGCGCGAAGATGGTGCGCGCGCGCGATCTCTCGCGCGCGACGACGCGAGACACGGTGACGAGAGAGCGGTGGGACTGACCGAGCGGCGCGACGCGCGATCGCGACGTGCAGGGACGCGTTCGCACGAAGACGGTGAAGAAGGTGCGTGATTTGAGAAACCCTACTTTGGACGACGACGTCGTGGGGATCGTCGACGCGTGTTGGACGACGCGGATGGGACGGGACGTGGGGAAGGGGTGGAACGACGCGGGATGGGTCGCGCGGGCGAGAACGCGACGACTGACGCGCGGGCATACGCGTTCGCATCGCGCAGGCTTCGCGCCAAATCATCGAGAAGTATTACTCTCGTCTCACGCTTGATTTCGCGACGAACAAGCGCATCGCGGATGAGATCGCCATCATCCCGTCCAAGCGGTTGCGTAACAAGATTGCGGGTTTTACCACGGTGCGTGACGCGATCGATTCGTACATCGCGAGCGGTCGCGCGAACGGGAGAGCGCGGGAGATCGCGAGCGATCGCCCGCTCGGGGTTTAGCAACCGCGGAGACTGACGGCGCGCGCGCGCTTTTCGCACACGCAGCACTTGATGAAGCGCATTCAACGTGGCCCGGTGCGTGGTATCTCTCTTAAGCTTCAAGAGGAGGAGCGTGAGCGACGCATGGACTTTGTTCCGGAGAAGTCTGCGCTCGACGTCGACTCGATCGAGGTTGACCGCGACACCATGGACATGTTGAAGTCGATGAACATGGGCAGCTTGCCGGGCGTGACCGTGTCCAGCCGCTCGCACTACAACAAGGGTCCGCGTCGCGATCGCGCGTAAGCGGACAAACGAACGCGCGTGAGAACATTAGGTCATTGCGCGCGCGCGTAGGTTGTGAGTTCAGTGCTAGAAGAAATCTTTAAAACGCGCCTACGCACGCTCGCGCGTCGATGAGTTGAAAGAATTTCGGGCTCGCATACCGATGAGAAGTGACGCGCTCGGCACTTCACCGGCATCTATTACTATTGGTTTCGCTTCGGGCTCCTCCCCGGTTGCTTTCTCAGGGCTCGCCGCGGGCGTCGCGTACGGGGTTTCGATGACGACGGATTCTTCAAGGTCCTCCTCGTTGAACTGCGATTTGCGCGACTGCGATCTCACCGCGGACGGCAGAGCCTCCACGCTCGACGACCGTCTCTCGATCGCACTCGAAAATTTAATCGATTCTCGAACGCTACGCCGTTTGATGGAATCTCTCACGCTGAAAGAACTGGATTTTTGCGTCTGAAGGAGCGGCGGCGGCGGCGCCCTCGCTGGCGCGCTTTTTTCACCCTTTTTCAATTGCGGATCGCGAGCGATCTCTGCACTCAGCAACGTGGTCACTTCTTCCACGAGCTGCTCGAAGCAAGGGCGGACGGCTGGATCTTGCTGCCACGCTTGCATCATCAAATCTTGATAAGCTTTAGCTTCATGGAAAACGACACCGTGCGTGGCCGTCGGATCAAGCCGCTCGCCATCGGGCACCGCGGTTACGATTTGATAGATGTGCAAGTCCTTCCACGGCGTTTGGAGGCTTTGAATTTCCCACATCACGACTGCGAACGAATACACGTCGGAAGCCTTGCTGTATTGCGAGTCGCAGAGGACTTCCGGAGCCATCCAGCTCGGCGAGTGCAGGTTGCCAGAGAATTCAGCGCTTTCACTCGAGGCAACGATCTCCGCGCGAGAAAGGTTGAAGTCACCCACTTTTACGCGATAGTAACGATCGACCATGAGGTTTGCGCTCTTTAAATCGCGGTGTAACACCGTAGGTGTGCATTCGTGCAGGTAAAGCATTCCCGCAGCTGCGCCGAGAGCCATTTGAAGACGAAGGCGCCACGTGAGCTCTGGGGCTCCAGATTTTGCGTGACGTTGCAGCACGGTGTAGAGCGAACCTCGAACGCAAAATTCCTGCACAATCGCTGGGCGAGGTGACATCACGACGCCGAGCAAAAGCACAATGTTTGGATGCCTCAACTTTGTCATGATGCTCACTTCCTTCTCGAGCTCTTCCAGACTCCGACCGAGTCCGCTCGCCGTGACATCAATGTCACTGGGGCCGATAAACTTGACGGCTACGTCGATATGGTTCCACTTAGCCTTGTACACACGACCGAATGAGCCCTCTCCGATCTTTTGCACTAGCTTGATGTGCTCGTAGGCGATTCTAGCCGTGTCCGATAGAGTACCCGACTCTGGCGTTTTCGGCTTGAGCCGGTCTTCGTTCATCTTTGAAGGCGTTCCGAGCATCGGTCGCGGTTTTCTACCCTTACCCAGGCCAGACTCGAGCTGTGCGAGAGGCCAGTACATAATACTGCCGAAGCGACCGACGGTAACGACTCCGAGGGAACCACCGCCATCAATTTTTGTCAGATGCACGAGCCCGCTTTCATGTGCCACGCGCTTGCCCCAGCGAACAGTGACTGATGCACTCGCGGGCGAAGACGCCAGGGTTTCCGAATGAAGGGTCGTATCATGAAGCTCCTGTGCCCCGGGAAGCGACCAGATCGTGAGTTTGCCGCTCGCATGACCGATGACAAGCACGTTTTCCACGGCCACCGCTCCGATGACCGTTTTACCGAAGTACTTGGAAAATGGAGCGAGCGACCACTTCTCGACTTGCTTGAACCCCGGAGTGATCGTCATCACGCGATCACCCGTTTTTACGGCGCATTTGTCGCCGCCCCACAACTGGACCGCCCCAGTTTCGTGCACGCTCACGATCAAGTCTCGAACGGTGGGATGCTGCATGAGTGAAACTACCGCGCCGAGATCGTCCAGAGCCTCAACTCTAACACACGTGGCGTCAGCGATGTCCCAAATTTCCAAGAATAAGTCCCGCTCGCACGCGATAAACATGAACCCGTCGGATCCTTCATTTGCGTTATGAATCATGCACCGGACGCCCTTCGAATTTTCCCGTGGCTCACCAAAACTCGGTCGCTCATGCGCATCTGCGGGGAACACGTCTCGCGTCTTGAAACACTTCCCACTGTAACTCCAACTTGAATCAGGCTTTGTTGCCGGTGCGTGCACTTCCACTATTGTACCGTCTTCGCATCCGACCCAAGCACGCGTAGCGTCGATGGGCGCGATGGCGGTGACTGCTTTGTCCCGAGAGGCGAGGACGATGTCTGTGCTCAATAATTTTCCCAAGTCGCAATCCCACGCCATCACCACCCCATTCCTCAGACCGGCCCACAAAAGTACCGAGTCGTTCGAAGTACTGCTTGACATCGTGACGATGGGTGCATTCAGCGTCGGCGCTCCCGCAGAGGAACCGGTGAGACAACGAATTCCAACGCCCGCGGCGTCCTCGTTTAGACGCGGACGGGCAATCTCCCGCTGCCCCTGTATGAACATGTCGTACGCGTGCAGGCGAGCGAACTGACCCCCTGTGGACCACCAGAGCTCCGACCCATCCGATCCCCCGGCGCACATCGCTAGAATACCCGATCCAAAGATCGTATCGAGCGTCTGCCCGAAGCCACCTCGTAAGAGCCGCCTACGACCGTCGCCCGAAGCCACTGCCACCCCTAGACGACCCGCAGCCCCAGTCATGTGCCACAGCTGCGTCTCCAGCGCTTCCAGCTCTCTCGTCAACTCTTCAAACTTGGCGTCCGTCGTCCAACCCGCGATGTACCGCGCCATTTTCTGCGCCGTCGTGTACGACCCGTACACCTCCACCAGCGTCCGTCCCATCGTCAGCTTTGACAGTACGCTCACGCAGTTCCGCTTCACTATCACCCGAACCGCGTCATCGTACATCGCCACCATGTTTTCCACCTCCTCCAGCGCCAGCATCGTCGCCTCCGCCTGTCCCCACAGCGCCGAGCACTTCTCCCGGTGACTCACCGCGCCGAGCGCCGCGACCTCCAACGCCCTCGCCGCGTCTCGACATCGCTCGAACACCCTCTCCGGCGCGATCGTTCGCTCCGCGGACGACGGCGACGCGTGCGCGGACGACACCGCGCGCTCTTCCATCGTCGTCGTCGGAGAAACCGTTCGACGATGAACCAACGAACGAACCAACGAACGAACGAACGAACGCCTCGCGCGTCTTCCCGCGCGTCTCCGCGACCGCGCGCGGTGAAGAGGCGCGCGCGCGAGAGAGGAACCGTCGACGTCCCTCGCGCGCGACGCGTCGAGCGGCGACGTCCCTCGCCGCGACGCGCGCGCGCGATGTCCGTCGGCGCGACGCGCGCGGGCCGTCGTGTGCCCACACACGGGCGTCGTGCGGTGTATGTATGGGACCGACGACCGTGCGACGCGCAACCCTAAAATCACGTGCGACACTCAACCCTACAATCGACGCGACCGCAACACCATCGCCCGCGCGCGTCCGCACGCGCCGACGCCTCGCGCGCGACGGCGACGGGACCATGAGCGGTGACGGACGAAAGATGACGCGCGCGCGCGGACGCGGCGCGCGCGTGGGGGCGGTGACGGCGATGGGGGTCGTCGCGCTCGTCGGATCGGCCTCGGCGAACGATTCAACACCCAAGGAGGGGCCCGCGCGCGGACGCGCGCGTGCGGGCATCGCCGCGCTCGGGTACGGGCTGGCGGATGTCCAACCGAACGTGGCGGAGAAGTACTTGCCGCACGGTGCGCCGGGATGGACGTGGACGTTCGGCGCGAGAGAGGGCTTGGAGTTTGAGTGCGGAGGATCGAAGCCGCCTCCGCCGCCGCCGGCGCAATCTATTCGTGAAACCGCCTCGCTCGCGGGGATGGATCCGGATGAGTACGACGACGGAGAGACGGCGACGGCTGGTTTGGTTGATCAAACGGAGGACGAAGCTGGGACGTCGAAGAGGTTCATCGTGCGATACGGTACGTATGGAAGCGCATTTGACACGAACACGACCAAGTACGACGACGCTTGGTTTGAGAATCCTGAGCACGCGGGGGACATTAAGTGGACGTACGGCACGTGCGAACAGGGTGCAATCGTTCGATGCGTCCCAGAGTCGTTCGGGTACATTGACCCTTTCCCAAGCATCGCGGAGGGCGAGCCAGGGAAGAAGTGCCAGTGGATCGAGGCGAGCACAATCCCATCGGATCACTTGAACGGTACCTTCACCGGAGTTGATATCGATGCAAACTCCGTGGAGGGCGCAGTGGAATTGCACGTCGAGTTGACGAATGAAAAGTGGCTGAAGATGCGCTTTGCGCTCATGCCCGCCAAGAAGCTCGCCCAGACGCTCAAGAAGTCGTTCCCAGACACTGTCGTTCACAGAGACCTATTGTGGAACTGGTGCGCCGACGAGGGCGAGGGTGAAGACCACTGGTGCGCGTGCAACACCATCATGCGGTACGGCTGGACAGGCAACACCACACTCAGAGCTCCCAAGCCAAGCGTGGACGCTGACTTCCACAAGTGGACTATTGTCGACGCGCGCAACGACATGGGCGTCACGCCAAAACTCCCATGCAACCACTACAAACTCGGCGGAGTTCGCCCGTTCCCGCTCCGCGGCGACGGAACGCGAATTTGCCAGTGCCTGTCGAATCAGACCCTGGCGGAGTACAACGCTGCTCTCCAGGCCGTGATCGGCGGTCCCACCGTCCCGGGACAGACCAACTTGGACTCGGAAAACAAGACGCACCTCTTCAACAAGACGCATCACGAATTGGATGCCATCTTCGCACAACGAGGCCATGCCCACAACAGCTCGGAGGAGCGACCGGATTTAGGAAATGCCGAAGATGAAGATTTCTTCGCGCGCGACCGACGCGATCAGAGACGCATCGAGGCGTCCCTCGGCCGTGAGGTTGATGACGAGTACGATCCCGAGTTTGTGGTTGACGCCGACGAGCGTCATCAGATGCACGTGCGCGACGTCGCCACCACCCTCTTCGGTGTCCTCGTCGTCGCCTCGCTCACCGTCTTCTTGGGCGTCGCCTATCACAGAAGCACCGCCGAGCGCCGCGAGTACGAGGCCGTCCCCGAGCCGGAGGTGTAGTCATTCACGCAACTATTGTCATCACAAAATACCAACGCTCTCATTACCATCGCTCACTCGTCGCGCGCGACGCATCGAACACCGACGCGCGCGTCCACCAGCTCGCGCGTCCGACGCGACCGAACGAACACCAATGCGCTCGCGCACCGCGCGCCCACGCGCGCGCGTCCGCGTCACTCCTCGCCCGCGTCCGAGCTCGCGCGATGGCGAGCGTGGTGAAGAAAGGGATCGATAAAGTCCGCCTGATGTGCGTCTTCGTCGACGCGCGGCGACGCGCGCGAGACGACGACGCGAAAGATGTGGATGTGCCTCGACGCCGAGGACGGGTCGATCGTTGGACGCGCGCGTTGGCGTCGCTCGCGTGACGCCCCGCAAAGGACTGACGAGAGCTCGTTCGCGCGCACGCAGGGCGGGGATGGAGCCGAGCGCGCCGGAGACGCCGGTGGAGGTTCTGGATGAGTACACGTCGTGCGCGAACATGACTTTCGAGCAACGCATGTACGGATTCGCCTTTTGCGCCGCGTTCGGCTTGGCGTGTTCGGCGTTGTCGAGCGTTTTCTGGACGGTGCCGAGGAAGTTTGCGATCTTGTACTCCATGGGGAACATCCTGTCGCTCGCGAGCACGGGGTTTTTGACGGGATTCGGGAGGCAGTTGAAGAACATGTTTCACGGGACGCGCTTTGTCGCGACGTGCGTCTATCTCGGATCGCTCATCATGACCTTGATCGCCGCCGTGGAGATCCAGAGCTTCCCGCTGACGATTTTATTCTTATCAATTCAGTGGTGCGCGCTGATGTGGTACTGCTTGAGCTACATCCCTGGCGGGCGAGCGATGCTCAAGGGATGCGTCAAGGCGTGTTGCGGCGGAGCTTCCGAGGGCGACTTCTTCTAGCAAGATTCGCAACGGTAGGATGTAGCGTAGCGTGTAACGAATATGATTGATCGTCGTCTTCGTCTTCTTTCCTTCTATAACATTGTACACGACCCACGGATGCGTCGTCGGCGCGGTCGCGTCGTCCGCGTCGTCATCCGAGCGTCCCGAGCGACCCAACGTTCGTCCCCTCTCCCTCCGCCGGTTCCTCTCCCGCCATCCTCGCCTTTGCCTGCGCGAATAATTTCTGCTGCATCGCGATCGCGTCCTCGGCGCTCATCGCGAAATTCTTCCGCTTCTTCTTCGCCTCTCGCTTCTCCGTCTCCTCCTCCTTCGCCTCGTCTCTCGCGATCGCGCACTCGTTCTCGTACGCCTCGAACCCCAACACCCGCAGCGCTCGCAGGACGTGTTCCGCCGTGATCGTGCTCTTCCGCTCTTTCGTCGACACCTCGTTCGCCTCCGAGCTCACCGCCTGGACGAACTCCGAACAACACTCCACGATCAGATCCCTGCACTCGGTGGACATCTTCATCGCGTCGTATCCCGCGCTCTTCAGCGCGTCCGTGACCATCTTCGCCACCGTGGCCTTGGGCAAGCCAATCTCATCGTCCCCGGCGTCCGCCATCGCGGGCGACGCGGGCGCGGCGACGGGCGCGGCGGATTCGCGCGGCGGATTCCCACGCGACCGCGTCACGGCGAATGCATCGATCCATCATCCGACCGCGTCGCTCGCGTCACACGCGCGCGCGATGGCGCCAAAGTCTCGACTCGGGCGAAGCGCGCGTGACGCCCGACGATGGTCCTCCGATGACGTCGACGGCGACGCGTCGTACGACGAACGACGGGAACGAATGGATGTTCGCTTCGCCGCCGTGGCCGAGGACGAGCGACCGGTGATGCCGCGCGTGAGCGACGAACGGGCGCGGGAGGGGGTGGAGGCGGGGACGTCGATGCCGGAGACAGGGGCGGTGGACGCGGAGGCGCCGAGCGTGCTGAAAAAGTTGCAAAAGTGGGGTGATTACGAATCGTGCGGAGACGTCGTGCGCGGGACAAAGTTGATTCCGATGAAGACGCCGTTGAGCGCGCGGTACGTCGAGGATCGGTGCGCGCACGCGCTGACGATGGATATATTACTGCGTGAGCAGCGAGCGTTGGGTAGGGAGATCGGATTAATAGTGGACCTGACGAATCACGACTGTCTGTACGAGGAGGACGTCCCGGCGTCGGTGTCTCGGACGCACGTCAGAAACGTCGCGAAGACCGTTCCGAGCGTGGGTGATTGTCGACGCGCGTCGAAAGTGGTGAATGATTTCTTATCGAGCGACGCTGGGAAAGATCGCTACGTCGCCGTGCACTGTGCGTACGGATTCAATCGAACGGGCTTCATGATTTGTTGCCACTTGGTGGAGACGCTCGGGGTATCGCCCGAGGAGGCGCTCGAGCTCTTCGCCGAGGCACGCCCGCCCGGATTGAAGCACCAGCATTTCCGGTGCGAACTTATCGAGCGATATGCTGCGTTACGCTCGGGCGCGACGGAGGTGTTCGAGCGCAGGAGGCACGCCATGCGCCGCTCGTTTGAGTCCGAGCCCGATTTCCTCACCTACTACGAGGAAGGCGACGTCAACGACTCACTGGACATCGACATGTCTCGCAAGCACTGGATGAGCGCCAAGCGAGCACACGACGCGTCGTGATCACGCGTTCACTAAATCGTTTCACTTCCCGTGGCGCGCATTCGCGACGGTGTAAAATTTCGCAATAGCTGCAGTTCATCGCCGCGCTCATCGCCGCACAACTCGCCGCGCGCGCGGGCGCCGCTCGACATGGTGCGTCCTCGCGAAAGATCTTCCCGAACCCATCGACGCGATCGATAGCGACGTCGCGATCGCCCGTCGACGACTCGCGCGCGACGCACCCGTCGACGCGTCGCGCGCGAGCGATACACGACGCGCGCGTCCTAGGTCGAACCAAATCGTTCAGACTCGACGACTGACGACGCGCGCACCGTGCGGTCGCGCCCGCTTCGCAGCCGATCGAGAGCGTCCCACCGTTCGCGATCATCGTCGGCGCGATCACCGCCATGGGTGGTCTGCAGTACTTGGCGCACGGCGTCGGGAACGATCGACCGCGGGCGATCGGGCAGGACGCGTTCGACCGCTTGGTCCGCGCGCGAGACGATCGCGTGAAAAAGGCCGCCACGACCGGTGGGGGGGCGCAGAAATCATAGAGTAGACGCGATGGGAACGACCGCCGCGCGATGGGAACGAAGCCGGGGCGCACGCGGACGCCGCGCGATTGTATTACATATTTGACACTTTGACACTGACGCGACGCGCGACACAGCGCGACGTTTCGAGATGTGCGCGCGCGCGGTGACGACTAGGGGGGCGACGATGTCGAAGGCGTCGATGAGACCGAACGTCAGGCGCCACGGAGGCGTCGTACACGCGCGTTGCGTCGTGACGCGAGCGCTCAACGAGGATGACATCGCATTCTTAACGAGCGAGTTCCCCGAGTGGATCAAGGACGAGGAGGGGGCGCGAAAGAGCGACGCGTACTTCAGGGAGAAGCACAATCGCGCGTTTAACCTGGAGAAGGCTCGGGTCGTGGTAAAGTCGCTGAGAGATGAACACGCGAAGCTCCCAGCCGCTTCGGGACCGTACGCGAGCCCGAAGACGTTCCCGGGCTTCCTGGGTGTGTACGAGCGATGCAGCGACGAGATTTAGTAGGACGATTTAACTGAGGACGATGCGGCTATGAATGAATGTGTGCGTTGACATGACGTATCATCGAGCGCCGATCGGAATGAACTCCACCGCGGCGAGACTGAGCTGCGCCGGTTGTTTCGCCATCGGCTGTTCCACAACAGTGTTCGCTTGTTTGTGCTTGATGTACAACGCGCGGCCCTCCGCGGCGAGTTTCACGGCTTTCTTGTACTCTTCATCGGCCCCGTTGTAATCGAGGACGCTCACGATGGAGACGGCCTGGATGTTAAGCGCCTTACCGATGCGTCGCTTGGTGAGTGCAAACACGACTGGAACTTCCTTCTCGCGCGCGTCGGCAATGATGGCTTGGATTCGATCGTCCAGTCCGCCTTCGCTCTCAATTTTTTCTATGTTGGGTGCGATTATGACCACCTTACTCGTCTTCGCGTCCACGCTCTTCGCGACTTCGCGCAAACCGTAGAGCAACCTTCTTCGCTGCTTCGCCTTGATCTTGTCAGTGTGATACAGACGGTCTTGAAATCGCTTCAACGTCGACAGAAGCGCCGTCGTTGCTTCATTGAGCTCTTCCGTAATGATTTGATTAGCGTGCCTCGCGTTCTCCATGCCCTCAGTGCCAACGTAGGTGGTCGAAGATTTCGCGCTCAGGGCCGCCTTTTTCGCCGCCTCGGGATCGTCCCGAAATGAAAGCTTCTTCGCATGCACCTTACCCGCGATGTGCGCCTCCCAGGCGCGCTCGCCGAAGCACTGCACGTTGCACACTTCGCACGTACGTGCCTCTTGTTTCACCTTGGGAGGTGCCTTCGGTTCGGCTCCCTTCAAGACGTCGGCCAGACTTCGTACACCCCACGCGCCCGCGGGCGCTCGCGCCTCAATTACCTCCAACTTTTCTTTCGTCGAAACGCCGTCACCCGCATCATCCCTCTCGGCGTCCTCATCCTCGCCCTCGTCGGTCGACGACCCATCTTTATCATTAGGGTCATCTTCCATGCACATCAAACGCACTCGAACGTCTTCGTTCTCGACAAACTCAAGCACGACGTACACCCAACCGACGCGCACCTCAACCTCAACCTCGACTTCGTCTACCGTCGCATTCTTATCCGTCTCTGCCTCTCGCCGTAACGCACGATCGGCGAGAATAATCTTTTTTAACGTTGATCGTTTCTTTTTCTTTCCATCCCTTCGCTCGACGCCGCGACGAAGTACCATGCCGGACGTGCTCGCCATGTTCGTGCTTCGCACGAACTGTCCGCCGTGAATATTACCCTCCTTCTTCTCGGCGCGCTGCGATGTCTGTTTCTCCGTCTTGAAGTACGCAGCGAGTGAATTCACCATGCTATTCGACGTCTTTGTCGTCGACGACACCAAGTCTCCGAGCTTCAGCGACACGCGATTCTTGCCGTCGCCGCCCGCCGGCGCGAGTCCCGCGGCGATGAGCGCCGTCTCCAACGCCTTCGCCTCTGGGTTATTCAAACCGTAGTGCGACGCCCCTATATGCTGCTCGAGCGCGTCGTACGCCTTGAACGTGCGTCCGCACACGTTACAGCGCACCTTGCCAAACTTATCCATCACCGACCTCCTTGACTCTCTGCGCAAGAGCTCGGCCGTGATCACCGGGAGCTTCGGCGCCGCCGCGCGAGTCCTCGTGTCCGCACGAGTCGATGGAATGGGACGAGAGCTCTGACGCGACTCTAATGCCATGATATCTTTCAAACTCGTCGTCGGTTTCGCCTCCGCGACGTCCGAAGAGCGCGTGGCGGACGCCGCGAGCCACGGCGCCGGGGTCGCCGGAGTTGCCGCGCGAGGCGCCGCGCGAGGCGCCGCCCGTTTCCCCCCGTTCCGATCGCCAGCGTCCTTCGCCCCACCCCTCCCATCTCCTCGCCCACCATCACGCGTCGCTTTACCTCTCAAATCGTCCGGATCTTCCATCGTTCGCGCCCCGTGCGCCTTCGCGAACGCCGCCGCGCGTTCCGCGACGTCCGCCGCCACCCCTCGCGCGAACCGACTGCATCGCGTCTCCCCACCCGTGCCGACGTGCGCCGTCGACGCGAACGCGTGAAATATCTCCGGGCACGCGTTGACGTACCTCAACACCGTCCGTCGCTCCTCCGTCGTCAAGGAATCGTCCCAGTTGGCGTCGTTCACGAAATCATGTGAGCGAAACCCGAGCGACACCACCACGTCGCTGGGCAACGCTCTCGCGCCCGTGGAGCACACGACCGAGGCGACCGCGCGCGCGACGTCCTCGCGCGCGTTCAGCGCGTCGACGAGATCGCGCGCGACGCCCGCGGTCATCGACGCGCGCGTCACTGTCGTCAGTATCGAGCGCTCGTGTGATGATGATGATAATCTCCACCCTCGTCGCACTCTGGACCGAGATCTTGACCCCGCTCGGTATCGCGATCGGGGTGAAGGTCTCGCCCTCGCGCGCGGACGCGCTGGTGCTCACCGAGTGCGCGTCGTTCGCGACGTACTCGTTGATAATGTCTTGGATGTACAATTCGTACTCATTCGTGGACCAACTGTGGAGCCTGACGCCGATCGCGTACGTGGTCACGTGGTTGGCGCACGACCGATCGAACGTTCGTTTACGCGTGATGTGCGGGATGACGTTGATCTGGGGGGTGAGGTTGACGTATAACTTTGCGCGTAAAGGCGGGTACAGCGGCGAGGAGGATTACCGCTGGGCGGTTTTGCGCGAGAACAAAATTCTGAAGAACCCGATGGTGTGGCAGCTCTTTAACGTTTCGTTCATCTCGTTTTATCAGCACGCGTTGTTGATGTTGATCGCGCTCCCGGCTGGGGCGGCGGCGCGGTCGAAGGAGGCGTTTGATTTGAGAGGCGTCGACGGCGCGGCTGTGGCGCTCTGGACGATCGCGTTCGTCATCGAGGTCGTCGCGGATGAGCAGCAGTGGCGGTTTCAGCGCTCGAAGAGGGGCAAGGCGAGAAAAGTAAAGAGGTGGAGGGACGATTACAAGCGCGGGTTCTTGACCCACGGCTTGTTCTCGCTCTCGAGGCACCCAAACTTTTGGGCCGAGCAAACGTTGTGGGTGGCGTTCTCCTGGTTCGCCGCCGCGAGCTCGAAGACCAAGGAGCTGTTTACTCCGTGGATCACGGGTGCGGTACTGTTGATACTCCTCTTCCAGGGCTCGACCGCGTTCACGGAGAGCATTACGGCGAAGAAGTACCCTGAGTACGCCGCGTATCAGCAGTGCACGAGTCGGTTAATGCCATTCCCGCGTCGTCGCAGTTTACCTCCGCCTAAAGATCAATAAATCGGAGACGACGAGATCTTTTCTCACAACTACTTAACGATTACTTTTGAATCTTATCGCGAAGTTCATCCTCTTTTTCCCTGGAAAGACTCATGAGGGCGTCAAGTCGACGTTCTCTTGCGAGTTGGCGCGCATTCACATCTGCGTGAACCTCGCGGTAGTGCGCGCCGCGCTCCGCCTTTCCTCCACCCTCCATGATATCGTACTCGTTATAATCGGCGTATCCCTTGATCATCTTCTTGCCGACTTCCGCCTCCTCTTTCCTCGCCTGCTCTTGCGCCTTCATCAGCGCGTGCGTTTTCCCAGCGAGCAGACTCTTCTTCGCCATGTACCGGCGCCGAATGGACATGTTTGCTCTGTAACTAGCCATCCCGTATTGGGAACACGCGCGTACGAGCACGTAAAGGATCACGAGCGCTAGGGCTGAATAGGTCAAAACGAACATGGAGATCATCAAATCCTCGTCACGCTCGACTCGGAGAGCGGGCGGCGGAGACGGCGCTGGAGGCGGAGGCGGAGGCGCCGTTAAAGTCACAATCCGTCTCGAGCGCTCCACATTCACATGATTCCCGGACTTATCCTCGACTAGGATGTGGACGATGAAATCGCGCCCGTAGCCAACGTTCAACGTGACATACTCCTGAACGTTTTCATTCTTCAACTCAAATGAGCCGTGGCGAAACACGCGAGGTCTGATATCCGCCGCGTTTTTCACGTCATTGGGCGACAGATTCGCCATCAAATCCGTCGAACACACGTAATACACCATACCTTTTTCCGTCGACGTGGCATTGATTGTCAACTGCGTCCCTGAGAGTGTCGCGGACCAGGTCGAAGTCGGCGCTACGTCATCCAATAACTCGATATCCATAGACGTGACAGTCGACATCATGTTCGCCAGATCATCTTCACCGACGGCAAACACCACGTATTTACCACCCGGTTTCAACGAGTTGAACGTACGAGAAGCGGTCGTGCTCGCAGAGAGGTACATGACGCCGATGTGCCGCAACGCTGGATCGGAAACTAGAGCGGTCTGAGCCTTAAGCGCGGCGCCAGTCGGTGCCGTGATCTGCGCTAAAGTACCCTCGAACACGGCGAAATAAAGGACCCCCCGTTCATTCATAGCGGCGTGTAGCTTGAAGGAAGAGTTCGTCGCGGTATCGACCTTTGGGAAACCGGTTGTGAAGACTGGAGCATCCGTCTCGGGCGTCGGCGGCGGCGACGGCGGCGGCGACGGCGGCGGCGGGCTCGCTACGAGCGGCGGTGGCGGTGGCGGTGACGGTGCTGGTGGTGATGGAGGAGGATTCGGCGCCGGTGGCATCGGCGAAGTGTTCACGTTCGTCGAGGACACCGCGCTCGGCTTATTCCCCAGCGTGTCCACGGCGACGTAATGCGCAGTGTACTGCGCGCCTAATACTAAACCCACCGCACCCGTGGTATCGATCGTGCGCGGGACGTTGCGGATGAGCTGCATATTTCCACTCGAAATCGCTGGCAGCGCGCTCGAGTTTTTCCCATCCAACACCTGCTGCACGCTCGGCGCCGGAACTCCCACGTGCTGCAATACGTAATACACCGTCCCGTCCTCGTCGCTCAGCGTCACCGTGAGTGCGATCTCGTTCCCGTTCGCCGCGTACGTGAACGAACCTATCGTAGGCGCGCTCTCATCCGCCGTCCTCACGCTCAACGTCTGCGTCGTCGACTGCAACGTCGGCGACGTCCCTCCGCTCTCGCCCACCGTCGACACGTAATACAGCGTATCCTCCGTCAACCCCCCGACGATCACCACGGCCTCGACGTTCGCCACCGCGTTCACGAACGACCCTCGCGCGACGACGATCCCACCTCCCGGATCGTTCCCCGCCTTCACCTGCGCCGGCGTCGGCGCCGCGGACACCGGCGCCGCGCGCGCCATCCAATGCGTCGTCCCGACCCCGTCCATCGCGTGCGCCAACTCAAACGACGTCCCGTTCACCTTTCGCACCGCCGGGTACCCCGCGAGATCTCTCGGCGCGTCCGTCGCGGTCGTCAACAGCGTCCGCGCGCGCGTCGAACCACGTCCACGCGCGCGTTCGGTCGCCCACGATTCCTTCGAGAGCACCGAATGCGCACTTTCCGACGCCACCACCGCGCGCGGGGCGACGACCGCGCGCGCGCACATCATGAGCACCACGAGGACGCGCGCGCGCGCCATCGCGGGCGTCGCGCGC